CCCCAGGCCCCGGCTGCAGCTCAGAGCGGGGAGAAAGCGAAGCGAGACATATCAGCTGTGTGGAACTATTTTAAAGTGAACGATTACGTGAAAACAAAGGCGGACTGCAAATTGTGCTCAGCGAAATTGTCCAGAGGAGGCTCTAAAGGTAGCGCATTTAACACAAGCAATTTAATCAAGCACCTAAAATCCCAACACAACAACTACAAAGAGTTTACCCACGCTTATTAGCACAGAGGAGCATAGCTGATGCTATAGCAGTGGGACGGAAAATAGTTGGGCATTTTAAACATTCCGCCTTAGCCTACTCCCGCCTCGAGGACATTCAGGGACAGCTCAACCAGCCAATAAAGAGACTGCAGCAGGACGTACAGACGCGCTGGAACAGCACGTATTACATGCTCCAGTCCCTCATTGAGCAAAAGCGAGTGCACGAACTCCCTGACTATCTCACCGCTCACCAATGGGCTCTTATGGAGACGACTGTTGCCATCCTCGCCCCCTTTGAGGAACTAACTAAAAAAGTGAGCAGCTACGACGCACTAGCCTCTGATGTCATCTCAGCTGTGACTGTGCTAGTGAGACTTCTAAACAGAGAAACAGACGAACAAATTTAAAATTAAATTTTGTTTTTTTATAATTATTTATTCTGTAATGTGTTGCATACAACATGCTTTTCATTTTAAATAAATGTTCTTAATTCCAAACTAGTCCCTTGTTTGTTTGTTTTTTGTTAAATTATAGGACTAAAGCTGTTACCTGCAAATTTAAATCATCTTTTTATTAAGTACTTGGTATCGGTATCGGCGAGTACTGAAATGCAAGTACTCGTACTCGTTTCCAAAAAAGTGGTCCGGTGCATCCCTAGTTGCTACTTTACCAGTTAAGTTTAACATCCAGGCATCCATGAAAACAGAATTTATTGAATCTAATGGAGTTGGAAGTTAGCAGGAAGTTAGCTCGCTAGTTTCCACCTAAACATGAGAGAGATTTCTGAAAAAATTTAAACATACAGCTCTGCTGTCACTTCCAACATAAAGGAAGACAGAAAACTAAACAGCAGTGACTTTTTAGGGTTACTGAAGTTGGGCTAGTTGATATATAATGATGTGCTACGTGATGTTAGCATAACATAAACAGTGAAGCTGGAGGATGAACGCTAACTTTTTTCCACTCGATCAAACTTTATGGGAGGGTTCCTGATGGTTAGGGACAAATGCAACCGCATGGCAGGATGCTGTAAACGGACCAAACTTCAGTCAGGAGAACAAGTGAGATAATCCATCCACAATACGAGGTTAGTCATTAATATACTGCAACAACATGGGAACAGAGCAGCTGCGACAGAATTCAACATTAACGAATCAATGTTACGGAAGTGGATGAAGCACAGTTTCTGGCTTTCCTCATATTCCAAAACATGCTTTGTCTCTTTGCTATTACTGTCGTCTGGCATAATTTGCAGATGATATTGCTTGCAGCTGCTGCGATGCTTTTGACCAAAACAGGCGCAGCTTGATGACACCATCAACACGAGCTATCGCAGTAGAGCGGTATAGTCAAAATGTCTACCGTTGGCCAAATTCATATCGTTTCTACCATATACCGTTTATACCGCCCACCCGTAGTTTCCATCATATCTTTTCTGCTTGTAATTGTATTTAAATTATGGAGTTTTGGTCTTTAGAGGTACTGATAGTTATAGTCAAAAGAAAAATGACAAGAACTATATTAGGTTGGTTTGAGAGAGACTTTTATCAAATTCAAATATTTCATATAAATCAAGATCTTCATGCATTTGTGTCTATGTGTAATAATCCAAACTGTCATCTAAGGACATTCCTTGAGTTCAAGCTTACTCTGTCAGTCTGTGTGTGAGCTGTACATTTGTCCAAGGCTGTTATTGTGGTGTGTTGGTGTATGATTTTCACTATTGTTACAAGGATTATTCTTAAGATGTCTGCTTGTGTCTCCACTGACATATTTATATGAGATTCAGCATGGCAGGTCATGCTCATTTTTTCTATGCCGAGACAAATTAAACACTGTCACGAGTGTGCAAAAGCAGGGAAACCACAGTGATGGCTGCTGTCTTTCTAATTGTTCCAGTTTCATATTATAAAAAAGCAATTTCCAGTGGGTCAACAAGCCTCAGGGGGGCTGTTTTAAAAAGAAGTGTTGGTATATGATGACTTTTCTACTCAGTAAGGAGCCTGCTGGAGATCTGGAGGAAATTTTCAAATGCTTTGAAGACAGCTGCAGAAGTGAAGAGTTTTAAAAATTCTCAGCAAGGATTTGTGCAGGAGCTCGGGGCAACACCGTGCATGTGACTGTGCAGGTATACTGGTGTGTGTGTGCGCACGCCTGTACGTGTTTCTGCGTGTATGAACAGACAGCTATAATAGTGCCTCATTAGAACTAGTTAATAAGGAAATAGCCACTTGGTAGAGAAGATAATAGTGAATTACATTGACCTTTTAGGATGAAAACACTTTAAGAAACGGACCGTGAAAACAATGCAGATGAAGTTTGGCTGAAATTTACCCTCACTGCCAAACTCACGCTGTAGTTAGTTCAGCCACCCAAAAATATCAAAAGACTTCTTCTCATTGTTGATTATACAGGGAGTGCAGAATTCTTAGGCAAGTTGTATTTCTGAGGAATAATGTTATTATTGAACAACAACCATGTTCTCAATGAACCCAAAAAACTCATTAATATCAAAGCTGAATGTTTTTGGAAGTAGTTTTTAGTTTGTTTTTAGTTTTAGCTATTTTAGGGGGATATCTGTGTGTGCAGGTGACTATTACTGTGCATAATTATTAGGCAACTTAACAAAAAACAAATATATACCCATTTTAATTATTTTTTTTTTTTACCAGTGAAACCAATATAACATTTCCACATTCACAAATATACATTTCTGACATTCAAAAACAAAACAAAAACAAATCAGCGACCAATATAGCCACCTTTCTTTGCAAGGACACTCAAAAGCCTGCCATCCATGGATTCTGTCAGTGTTTTGATCTGTTCACCATCAACATTGCGTGCAGCAGCAACCACAGCCTCCCAGACACTGTTCAGAGAGGTGTACTGTTTTCCCTCCTTGTAAATCTCACATTTGATGATGGATCACAGGTTCTCAAGAGACCTGGGGTTCAGATCAGGTGAACAAGGAGGCCATGTCATTAGTTTTTCTTCTTTTATACCCTTTCCTGCCAGCCATGCTGTGGAGTACTTGGACGCGTGTGATGGAGCATTGTCCTGCATGAAAATCATGTTTTTCTTGAAGGATGCAGACTTCTTCCTGTACCACTGCTTGAAGAAGGTGTCTTCCAGAAACTGGCAGTAGGACTGGGAGTTGAGCTTGACTCCATCCTCAACCCGAAAAGGCTCCACAAGCTCATCTTTGATGATACCAGCCCAAACCAGTACTCCACCTTGCTGGCGTCTGAGTCGGACTGGAGCTCTCTGCCCTTTACCAATCCAGCCACGGGCCCATCCATCTGGCCCATCAAGACTCACTCTCATTTCATCAGTCCATAAAACCTTAGAAAAACCAGTCTTGAGATATTTCTTGGCCTAGTCTTGATGTTTCAGCTTTGTGTGTCTTGTTCAGTGGTGGTCGTCTTTCAGCCTTTCTTACCTTGGCCATGTCTCTGAGTATTGCACACCTTGTGCTTTTGGGCACTCCAGTGATGTTGCAGCTCTGAAATATGGCCAAACTGGTGGCAAGTGGCATCTTGGCAGCTGCACGCTTGACTTTTCTCAGTTCATGGGCAGTTATTTTGCGCCTTGGTTTTTCCACACGCTTCTTGCGACCCTGTTGACTATTTTGAATGAAACGCTTGATTGTTCGATGATCACGCTTCAGAAGCTTTGCAATTTTGAGACTGCTGCATCCCTCTGCATGATATCTCACTATTTTTGACTTTTCTGAGCCTGTCAAGTCCTTCTTTTGACCCATTTTGCCAAAGGAAAGGAAGTTGCCTAATAATTATGCACACCTGATATAGGGTGTTGATGTCATTAGACCACACCCCTTCTCATTACAGAGATGCACATCAACTAATATGCTTAATTGGTAGTAGGCTTTCGAGCCTATACAGCTTGGAGTAAGACAACATGCATGAAGAGGATGATGTGGACAAAATACTCATTTGCCTAATAATTCTGCACTCCCTGTATAAGGAGTACATATTTTGTATAGTGTTACTATTACATTAATTACACTATTACATTTGGTTAGTCAGTATAGCAGGTGAATATAACTTGTGAATGTAAAGCAGAATGGTCAGAAGTATTAGACTTAAGACTAATATTTAATAGCAAAGCTATTTGAGGGCAGTTACTTTGCAAAATGTACATACACAGTAAATTGAGGTTAATATGTATATATCTCCTTTAATTGAACTTAATATTGATATTACACACTTTCCCCAATCCTTTTCTAATATGTCACATGCAGTTTATGTCACATGTAGTAAAGATTAAATGAATGAATACATTTTACCAAACATTTGTTTTTCCTAGCAGCTAAAGAGGGTCAGTATTTCTAATATGGCAGCATAACACTGCAAACAATGTTGTATCTCTCCTGTGTTGAGCAATTTTATTGGCAAGCTACCAAGTGCCTGCTTTTATCTTGCTCTAGACTTATGTTCAAGCCAAATAACATTATTGTGACTGCACGCTGCAGTTTGTGTACCAACCATCAAATAAGAATTTGTCTTTGGCAGGTAATAAAGTAGACATTTTATCATGCAGTGCAAATGACAAGCTGGCTCTTAAAAATAAATAAATAAGAAAGATTGATTCTACTATAACCATTTTTCTGAAAGCTGTGATGGCATAGAGGATTTAATTGTTTTGATAATTAAATACTTTAACAGTATACATGAAAAAGGACAAAAATGTAACAACTCAAAAGGTAGTGATAAAAAAAAAAGAGTATTGGACTGAGAAAGGAATTTTTCTGATGTGAAATCTCTACTTACAGGTAATAAGAGTAGGAATAAGCATGTCTTCTGAAGCATGGTGAGGTGAGGCCGATGATGACAACAGAGCAAAACCCAGAAGAAGGACAAACACATTGGATTAGTTCATGAGTTAAATGAAAATGTAATTCTGACTGCATTTATTTTAAATTGATAAACTACCTGTTTTTCTTTCAACTGTTTTCCCCAACCTACCTGTACAACCTTCCTGTCTGAATCCTAAATTTGCTTTTCTTTGTGTCCTCATCTGAAAACATTTGTTGTCATTTAACTTTGTTTTTACAGATGCTGAATGGGTTATTTTTTGCTATGAAGTATGTATTAGTACATCTAGTTGCTGATGAATTTAATTAATTTTTCTCTACTGCATGTTGGATTAATATATTTTGCCTTCGCAAAATCTCAAAAAAAGTTCATGCTTAGGCATAACAGAACATCCAAGAAATATTCTAGTGTGATGTCCAACGATATATTTGGTTAAAAAAAAGCTTCATTGTAAGTCAGCTGTGAACCGGCCAGCAGTCAATCAAATAAATTGGATAAGAAGATCTATGACTTGTGAAATGATTACTTCACTCACCCAAAAAATTATACTTTTTTCATAAGAGCTTTACCAGGTCATTAACTTTAGAAGATAAAAACACATTTATTAATCCATCATTCAGTCTTGTACCCTGATGTTAAAACTTTAACTTTCACCCACACTATCAAATTATTAACTGAATGACTTTTTCTTTATAAAATTTGAAAATTAGATGAAAGAAATAAAACAAAACAATTTCAATATACAAATCATTCTATTAATAGGATTTGAAATAGTCGCATTGGACTTTCGACAACTCCAGTTAAGGAACTACTGAGCAATATTAGAATCTGACCAAGGTGTATGATTTGTGGGTAGTTGAAAGAAGAAGCATGGTACTTCAGAAAGAAGTACATTCATTTTGTGTTGTAGTACACATTCTACAGTAAACAAAACCAGATGCATGTCCAGTACTTAATTAGATGTATTTTTAAATGTTAAAGCATTAATGACCTACAACTTTTATTCAATGTAGCATATGCTAATGTGCTAGCAATGGGCTCTGGTCTCCATTAATTTAACAGGGACTCAGGGGTATTTCATGGTCTACGCTGTCATTATGTTATATATAACTGAATGGCTTGCCCTGAAATATATTTTTTTAACCTGTAGGTTTTTCAATACGGCATGAATACTTAATTTTGGTTTACAGGTGAAAAGAAAAGTAAATATAAATAGACCACTGATGCCTCCATCACCATTTGGCAGGTAAGTAAATGAGATAGATCGAATGAGAAGTGACAAAACAAACCCAAAGGGAGAGGATGGAAGCTGGAAGAGTAACACACAGAAGCAAGGAGGTAAAGGTTGAATGAGTGTGGTTTGTAGCAATAATATCTGTACAAGGCCATAATTTTACTCTGGATTGTGTTTAAAATCGTTAATCACAGAAAACGTACTAATTATGTCTGAAATTTAATGAATTGCAAGACTAGTGAAAGTAATAATAAAAATCAAATTAATATTATAAGGACCAACATGTTAAAGCTAAGCCAAGAAAATCTTTAACCTTTTACATTTTTTCTTCTCCTTTATCCTGTTTTTGATAATAAAGCCACAGGTTTATTCCACTGCACTGTACTTGACTAGTATGACATGTGTATCAGTGTGTGTGTGTGCGTGTGTGTGTGTGTACGTGTGTGTGCTTGTTCTGCTACTTCCTCAATAGTTTGTTGGTAACTTTGCCCCCCAGCATACATCCTTCATCTATGAGTGGCCAGAGATTGGGATTTCATAATATGTCTGGACACACAACACACACAAACATACACACTCATACTTCATCAGACTGAGTTGTTATAGCACGGGAAAGTCAAGCACAGTTCAGAAGGATCAATACTTCCATTCCACTTCACAGAGGAGCACACCTTACACAACTACTGCAGACTGCTTCAATCAGTCAATCTATCTGATATGCCATCTTAATTACTTACATAATATGAATTTTGTGAATGCTGACAAAATACTTACTATAGCTTTTCATGTGACAGAGAAGTTACTGGCCGTTAGTAGGGCTGATATACATGTGAAAAGCGAAATGTTATTAACTGTATTAACTTTTTACAGGCTTGATGTTTTTAATAAATGACTTCTATACTTTATACTCCTTCACTTTTTTCATCCAGCCCCCTTTTTTGTTCTCATTCTGTCTGTTTTATTGTTCTATTCTTCTCCTTCTGCTTCTGTTTTTCCATCTTCTGCTAATAATGTGAATGATAAACTAAATAAATAAATAAGACAAAAAAAAGACTAACAAGAGAAGCATAGAGACGCTATAGTACTTCCTACCCCTCCCCCCGAAAAAAACATATTTCTAACACTAATAACACATTTATAAAATGGCATGGTTGGATAAAATGGGTTAGCTAGCCAGATATAATAACAGTTACCAGCCTGGAAGGGCTACTTTGCTATATTTAAGGGCAGTAAAAAAGTATAGTAGATATAGCGAAGGCAGCAGAGATGGAATGAAAAATCATTTGTAACAGAAGAGTTATTCTTGAGTTCTGGGTGCACACAGCAACACTATTGTAAGGCAACGAGGTGAGGCAAAATAATGTTTTACTCAATGCTTACACATATATTTTTACATGAAGATAGAATAAATCTGCCAGAGCCTTTGAAAAGAAATGTAGTTTGTTTTAAACCAGCGCTTCATAGCTTTGTTGTGGAAACATTAGTGCAACTGAGACAAATGTTGATGAAACTGGTATTACATCAAACCACAAATCAATATCTACACCTAATTCTAATGTCATTCCCTAAACAAAGAACTGTCCTTAAGCAGAGCTTTGCAAAAATGTGGAAAAAGGTCCTCACTTTTCCAGATGTCCTCACTGAAATGGCCATAAACAAATACTGGTCCTCATTAAGATAGCTGAACAAGTGACTATGTGCACATAGTCACACCCATAACCCTCTTTAAGAGCTCTGCTGACATTGTCCTTATGATATTAATAAAATGCAGAGCACTGGGAGCCCAGCTGTAAAAGTCATAGTCGTTAAAACTGGTCATAAATATTAATATAGTGTAGAAAAAACACTCAACCAAGTTATTCAGGGTACCGTGTTTGAGACTGATTAAATGGGGCAGAGAGAGAATGAGAAGAGACCAGCTTGGATGAGAAATGGGGAAAAATCTGAACTTTTTGTTAACAAGTTACACCTAAGGTCTCCATGTGTAGCAGTAAAAGCATGTTAGTTAAACCTTTTAATATGCGACTATGAAAGTAAATTCCGTGTTTGAAGGACAGAAAGTTAAGAAACACAGGGTATCAATGAAAGTGAAATCTCTTCAGAGTGCTCACGTCTACAGCCAAGTTAATTTGAGGTTTGACAGAACACCGCTTACTTGACATGTACGGAAGGAGGACGCTACGATGGAATACGCATATGGACACACAACAACACTGAGACATAGTGGAAAAAATGACAAGAGAAAAGTACTTACATATGCATGCATAAATGTCAAAATAAATAAGTTATTTGACAAATGAGGGGTGGAAAAGGAAGCCTTTTAAAGACTGCATGTCCACACACAAGTTCTGTAGTTTTTATCTATAGATTTGATCATTATGGCTTTGGTTGCATAAAACAGTATGAGACCACACAAACATAGAAACACTGCTCATATCACCCACACTCGAAAACAAAACCGAAATTCTTTCTGTGCAATGCTATGCCAACTACGATTTGATTATCGAGAAATGCAATTAACTGTTTCATATGGCAGTAGAATACACACACAGTATTTGCATGGCCTATGTTTAACCTTGTCTATTAGATTATGTGTTTTCAGCTTTTAGGCCAGTCGACTACTCTGATTCTTTTTCTCTTATTTAAACAACTAGTAAATTAGCCACCCAGAATATCCGTGGTGATCACACAGTATGAGTTTGTACATTTGTGTGAGTGTGTAAATGGTTTGTCATCACCAATTTTAAATGTGCTGTAAGTGGACCATCAAGCATTTATCTCAGCAAGCTGCAGAGTCCATTATTCAACCATGTGTCACATCTGCAGAATAGGGGTCAAGTCCAGCTCTGTTGTGAGTGCATGTGTGTGTAAGTGTGTCTGTGTTAACACCTCCAATTTATTTACTGATACGTCCAAGTTTAGCATGAAAGAATTCGGTACTTTCAAATTTGTGTGCTTCTTAATGTTTCTCTGTGTGTTTTTGTACATCTTCTAGTTTAGAGACAGAGTTTCAGTCCACCAATGTATTGCATGTGTGTACGCACTTGCATACACGGGTACAGACACACACACACACACACCACTTGGCTTCACAAGAGCCTGCCATTTGCAGTGGATTCAGCCTGAGTCCATTCCCTTGGCTGACACCAGTTTCTAATCGCCTCATTCCTCTTGTTATAGATGAGAACCCCAGGGTGTCATATACAATCTAGAAAGAAGATGTGTCCTTTTGTTGTCTCAAAGTTGAGAGTCATCATTTATATTGTGGTTTTTTTGGGTTTTTTTTTTTTTACCAAAAAACTGTTAATCTTGGCATCCTCACAATTTTCTAAAGGAATTAATACAAAAGCTCTTTTCCTCACACACATTCATTTAGCACTATATCTATCTCACATCCACACCTAAGGCCAATTCGGACATACCGCTTAACTTATTATGTATGTTTTGAATGTCAGAGGAAACCAGAAAACATGGGGGAAAAAAACCTGTACAGCTATGCATAAAGGTCAAGCAAACGGAAAGGAGATTTCAAATCAAAGAACTCTTTGCTGCAGGTCAACAGTACTAATCACAAGATTAATTAATTTCCGCATTTTTTTAATAAAAAAATGAACTGCTGCTCTTTGCGCAATGATTACAACTGCTAAATCAGGATTATGATTAATCTAAAAGTTTCAAGAAAATAAACCAACAGCTTTGGCAAAGTTCCTACTTTCTCTGAGCGACTGTGCACCATCCACAAGGACTGTCA